AGTTACAATTTGTTTTTCAGCAGGAAGAAATTTATTCTGTTTAAATTCCATGTCACCTGCAGTAAATTGAAACACATTAAAGAATGACAAGTTCATAAACCATTTCCATTCCACCCCCCACCCCTCAAAATCCCAATAGGAATCTGTCACTTCACAAAGAAATTAGTGTCATGAACAGACATATACAAATTTGAAATCTTCAATTATGATTTCAAAACCATTTTCATTCTCTTGTAAAGAACCAAAATAAAACATACAAAATACAACAAGTAGAAAGTTGTTCATATGTGATTTTATTCATCAAGCACACAAATTCATGGACCTTCCTGAGCTAAAGATGCACTAGCACAGCCCCGGCTGTTCACTCAAGATATAAATAAAAAATAAAGAGAGGAGGAAATGAAATAGAGGCTTGATTATTTGTTTAAAAGTTCACTGGCCCATAGGTGCATTACCAATAGCTCTTGCAAGATTTAAACTTCCATTAACTCGTCCTGCATGAATAAAACCACCAGCTTTTAAGATTCTTTCCTTCTCAATCTCAAGTTCAGGTTTGTGATCTCTAGACAAATTGTAAGCCTGTAGAAAACAGCCATAGTAAAACAACATACGTAAATACCTACAAGATCTGTAACTTATAAAAACTGAAAATAAGAAGGGACAAACCATATCCTATGCCTTCAAAAAAGTCCCCCCAAGAACTTTGACCCACCGACTTAAGAGGCAGACATTTCCCAATGTACAGTTTTTAGACATAAGAAGTCGCATTTTATGTTTATTTGTACTTTATGTATATATCTGTGGACAATAAACATAATTAATATTCCACGAATTTCTGTTCTAAAAGTTACCTGCCCCTTCCGGGATATCACACAACGTGAATCACCAGCATTTGCAACAACAAGTTGGTTGTTTCTAATAACTGCAACACAGGCAGTGCTCCCCGATGTTGGTCCAGCAAAATCAGAATGAGGCCCCTGATTGCAACCAGTAAATTCAAATTAAGGAGATGCAGAAAGAAACTTATTTCTACTTACAGCCATCCGCCATGCACCAAATTACCAAGTATATCCAATGAAGCAGTGATACTGAAAAGTATCATTTAAGATATCCTTCAAATCTCACACCTACCTCCTCGAAAGCCCAATCATTAACTTGGCAGTTATCATCACTGCTTCGTGGAGACCAAATCAACCCTTCTAGCATCCCAGTAAACTTGTTAAACTTATCCCCCAATACTGATAATTCCCTCCATCCCCTTTGACCACGCATCATCTCATCCATTCTGTGTAATATTGAAAATGTCAAAAAACCAATTCATAACTTTTATTTTTGGATTTTTGTTTTAGGGTGCGGATAAGATGTATAAGTAATTAATAGTTACTATTTATTCTTTTTCAATTAGACCAGAAATGAGAATATATTTAACACTGCTTCCTGTCTGCTCCGTAATATGTAAGCTTAGTGTGTGACACAGTAAATTAATAAATACAATACCATAATCAGCAATTAATTTCTTCACACTCTTCCTATTACTCAAGTGCATAAAACATAACTAAATGACTTTTAGAGCGACCATTGTCAATGAAATTTCTTTGTATGTTAAAGAAAAGAAGAAAAAAAAAAAGGGATCAATAATAAGAACTATAAAACTGAGATCTTAGCTGATGATCCAAATTGAAGGTCATAAATAGTACAAAAATTCAACTCTTTGCAATCATGAAACATTGAAACCATTTTGTCATTTAATTGCAGAACTCAGGCAGAGGAATTAAGTGCTATAGCAGTGGCCATCATTTTACATCTAACCTTAAAAAGGCTTTCTGAAGGGAGGTTCCTATATCTCCAGTTAAGTATGCTTCACTTTTGAGCACCTGTTGGTGAAGAAACTTAGCACAAAACTTCGCAACCACCTTACCTGAAATTTTGGGATCAAGTGAGAACACAACATTGATTTCAACTAGACATAATTTATGTAGTAATTTCCTCTTGTTCTGTTGGGGATTATTGAAATTTGTAGCTCAAGTCAAATATGCATTCCATCATAAAAATGGTATAAATAGACCTTGATTTTTCTGAGAAAAATGGTTTGAAAGGGGCAACCAGAACCTATTTGTTTGAAAGGATATGTACGCAAACAAACAATTCAATAAATAGAGCATAACTACAGACACAATTTAGAAGCACAGTAGAAAATCCAATTGACCAAGAGATAGAAGCCCTGTAGGGTTTAAAATCTTGAGAAGCTACATTCAAGGCACACGTGTTACAGTGGCATAAATGGGATGCAAGGAAACATGGTAATGCACTAGGGTCTTCATGCATGCACAAATCATATGAGGAATCACTTCAAAATTTAAATCGTCCTCAAAAGTTGAAATCAGGCTATCTATCAGCTACAACTAGAGCAAAACAAAGGATAACTTTATGACTTCTTCAGAATAAATAAATAAATTTTCTGAAGCAAAAAATAGAAATATTATTTGGACCATGGTTTGGTTTCTGCAGAAGTGTCTCTTTTGTGAATATTCAGAGAGATTAGAGGGTATTGTTGTTTTGAATGTTCTACTTGATCATATAGGGATTCTCAATTCTTCTTTTCCTCCTTACTTTCTCTTATCTTTAGAAGATACTGTATACTAGCCTTCAATGCCTTATTAGACAGAGGAGGTTGGATTAGGAGTGTGAGATGCTCTATTCAAGAGAGAAAATGAAATGGAAAAGGTTAAAATAAATCATTCTTGCATGATAAAAAAAAAAAAAAAATTGTAACTTGTAACAAAGTAGTAAAAACGTGCCATAAACCCAAGTAGCCAAACTTTCAAACCTCACCTCCATGACCATCATAGACACCAAAAAATGAAGTTGACTCATCCAGATCAGTATATGCAGCATGCTAACAAAAGAAAAGAGAACAAAAATCAACAGCATATTAAAAGGTTATCGATCTGAAATCTGAATCAGGAAAAATCAATAAAATGAATTAAAATATATAAAATTAAAAACAGAATCAATGTATTCACTTTTATTCCTAAAATTGCATTTCACTTGACCAATTATTGCTTCTTTTAAAAACACAAACAAAAGATAAAATTCCATTCTGAAATTGCATTTCACTGGACCAATCATTGCTTCTATTGAAACACTGAAACAAAAGATAAAATTACTTCTTCTAGTTCCCTACATCATCATAATCTCTCAACCAAAATGACAAGGAAAGTTCAATTGCCCACTACATGAGATCAACAGAGTACTATACAAATATGCTATTATTGCCAGACACAATTGAAAACAACCTCTGGTAGAACAAGTCTCAAGAAATGTTGGGACGTTTGCCTTTCTCAGAATTTGGTAACAAATATTTATCTGTTTCTACCATTATAAAAGAGAGTATAAACCAAAAAAGAATGACTAACAATACCGCTTGTGAACTGCATGCAACAAAAAATAAAAGCACAAGAGAAACCTATAAACCTCAGCAAGAAAATACTAGCTTCATATCTAAACTCTTGGGGGCAGAAAGTCTGTACTGTTTATTTCTCCAACAAACCATTTGCCAAAAGCTCAAGAGTAACTTGCTGATCCATAAACCACGTTATTGAAACTATATGTCAATCCATGTGCCATACTAGTGTTTTAACAAATTGGGAGGCTAATGGAAAAAGGGGGAAGATGATGTTGCGAGAAACTTTATGGTCTATTGTAAATAGGAAAATAAATGGGGGGGGGGGGAAAATCCAAGCGTAAAACAGGATTCAAATATTGATAGATTCTGAGTAGCATAATACCCTTGTCACCACGGGATACTTCTTACTAGACATTGCCATTTGCTACATTGGGGGTTTATAATTATTCACTTTAAAATTCTGGATTTATATGCAACAGGCATTTGACTTATAAAACTCGCAATTTTTTACAATAATTACTCACAGCATCTTCCATTGTTGCACGCCACCCTTGCATGGAGGATAAACCATATCTAAGACGGTCATTGTCACCATCTTCAGAAAACTTTTCAGTTTTGGGAGTGCTGAGATATATCCCCATTCCTATCTGAATTAAAACAAACAGGCAATAACTTTAATTTCTTAAAGCAGCGAAATGAAAGAAGACTTGAACCAAAAGAAATAATACATAGGAAAAATAAGTATGCCATTGATAATATTCTGATAACTGCAAATATAATGTGCAAACATCATACCAAATGGATATTTCATGCTATAAACGTGGGAAATAAAAATAATAAAAAAAGCTATAATTACACTGAAAGCACAAACAAAAACACTGCATTGGATAGGATATTAGTACACTTGCATCCAATGTATTTAAAACCCAGACAGGTGAGGAGTTTGGGTTCCAATACAATGTAGTCAAAAGCACTAAAAGACACCCTGCAGCACTAGAAGCGGTCAGTACCGCTTGGAAAGTGCCTCTGAATAACATTAAATAACCTCTGAAGGATCACTTATCTAATTTGCCAACTTTGACACCCAACTGGTAAAATAGGCAAGATGTTAAAAGAGTAACTAATGAATTAGATATTATAGCACGGGACAATTAAACCAGAGACCTAGCTAGTTCATGGTCTAGCTGGTTGAACAAGCTTCTGGCCGGCCTGATCTGGTTTTTAATACTTTGCTTTCACCAAAGAGGCACAGTGCCACAGATATATTAGCTTAAGCAACATATTTATGAGAAATTAAGATAAAAATATTTAAGATAGCAAAGACAACGGAATGGAGAGAAATGCGAGAAAGAACTTTAGTAATGCTGCATTGCAATCATAGCTCGGGAGAAAGATATTCATAAGGGAACTTTTTCAAGTCCGAAACTGGAAAGAAAACTCCACCCACCAAAGAGTCGTCTATACTTAAAATTTTTGTTTTCTTTCGCTCACAAGATTCAAGAAAGCTAGCACCGACAACAAAGTAACGGAAAGCCAAGCAACCTATATGAAGGAACCGATTACTTGCGATGGAAAATGAAACATAAAAATTGAAAAGTTTCATGAAAGTTCAACAAAAAGAAGCATACTCTATACAATATTCGGAGAAAAAAAGGAAAATTTGGACGACAAACAGAAAGCCCAATTTTGACTTTGAGAGAGTACATGAGAATATGAGACGACAAGTAAACAAATCAAATTAAAATACAAAAGAAAAACATAGTAAAAAGCGAAATAAAAAAAATAAAATTAAGGATTCAATCCGGGAAGGGGAAATAACTTGAAAGAAGAAAAAAAATTAGCGTAATCATATGTTCATTGAAGAAAAGAATTGGTGAAGAAATCGACGAGTTATAAGAATCATAAAGATAATAAACAGTTTGGGGGAAAAGTAGAGGAAAGCAGCAGAATGAATTGAGAAACGAAGATACCTGAAGTGAGTAAAGAGCGAATTGAATTGCTCGAGAGGACTCAAGGTGACTCTCCAGAGACTAACGCCATTTTCATTCTTTCTTGGATTTTGTTTGTTCTTATCCCTTTTTCTCATTATTATATGAAAATTGGAAAGAAAGAAAATAAAAATAAATAAGAAAAGTAGTTTCTGAAAGTCATATATCTTTTGCTTATTCACATATCCATGCCCCGGATTTCACTCCACCCTTACGATACGATCTCATCATTTTTTTACTAAATTTCATTATTCATATATGACGTCATCAGATTTGGTTCATTTTTTTAAACATATACACCCATACCATACCTCAATAAATAAAATTATCACACTTGACAAATATTGTCATTTTTTATTTTTTATTTTCTATTTTCATTTTCAACCTTTTAAACTTTTATTGTAGGTCCATGTATTTAAATTTTATCTCATAAAGTAATTTTTTCATTAAAGCAAGAGAATCACGAAAATTTACACTCACAACGTGACTCGTCTTTGCATCCAATTCCAAGGCCACACATAGTCACATGTTTGGTATCGTAAATAATAAAAAGATTTTTCGTTTTTGTATTTTAGTGACACATTTGATGAGGTTTAAATGACAGATAGTGACAACGAATATGCCTAATAATTGTTGGTAAGTTAACAAATGGCCATGCCATGCAAACTGAAACTAATGTGGCATCCTCATTTTTTTTTTTAATACAAATCCGGCACTAGAAAGTTCATAAATAAATATTATAATCAACCTCTCTTTTTTTTTTTAATATTCTTACCAAGTCCTGGATGGATGCATTAACTGAAATTATCATATCTTGACAAGTTGGTGTTTATACAATTATCCTGCAAAGTTTTAAAGAAATGGTTGGATATGACTTTTCATGGCATATTTATTTTAATCTTAACTTTTTTACTAAAAAAAAAATTAAAAACTATCCTGCTACTTCCAAAATCTAGGAGATTATGAATTTCATTAAACTAAATTTCATATATCATCAATTAAGAATTTCATTAAAGTAAAATTTTAATTATTTATAATTTTATCATTTTAATTTTTATTCAATCAAGTCTTTTTATTTTTAAAATTATACAAATTTGATCGTCCTTTAACCTTTTATCTAAAAAATTTAAACTCTCGCTTTCTGTTTTAATATGTGGAGATTTATAATACGTTTCAGGTACAAATAGTTATCAAAGTTAAAAGTTAAAAAATAGTTTAAAAAAATGAATTTTGTTAATAAATTGGAGGGTTAGATTCATGTCCATTACTTTCCAATTAAATGAATTGCTGATTTTATTTTATTTTTTTACTAAAGGCTCGTTTGACAGAGAAAAAAAATATCTAAAAAATAGAGTGAGTTGTTTGTCTTTGATTTAAAAAAATAATTATAGCAAAATATTCACACATTCAACGTTTTAGTAAGAAATAAAAAATTAACTCAACATGATTTAAATTTAATAAATTAAAATATTATCGAACAACATATTATTAAATTCAACACAAATTCAGTTAAGTGAATTAAAGATACAGTTAAATAACATATTAAGTATGAATAAAAAAATACGGCATCTATTCTTTTTATAAAATTTAACTTAAAACAATTATTTATTTCTTTATATAAAATCTAATTTATATTATTTTTATATTAATTATTTTTAGACTAAAATATTTTTAATTAAATTATATTCTTTTAATTTAGTAAAATACATAAATTATAAAAAAATTTAAGCATCATGCATTTGGTTAAGAGAAATATGAGTATTTATTATGAGAAAAAAAAAAGTATAAGACATAATATACTCTAAGATATTAAAAAATAGAGTGTTTCTAATATGAAGTACTTTGGTACATGCCTCATCCATGAGGTAGAAAATTTACCGGCAATAGCAAGTTTTCTAACTTATTTATATTTGCAAAATAGTCCATATATTATATGCGAAGGTACGGTGGCGACGGAGGCATGGTAACAGCAAAGGTGCCGTCTCTTTCCATGGTTGTGGCAGCAGAGGCGTGACCTCCTTTGCACGGTGGCAGTAGAGCCGCAGACTCCTTCAAGCAGTGGCAGCGGAAGTGCGGCTTCATTCATGCGATGATAGCGGAGGTGCCATCTCCTTCCACGATGGTGGCAGCAGAGGCGTGACCTCCTTCGCGCGGTGACAACGGAGGCGCGAACTCCTTCAAGTGGTAGCAGCGAAAGCGCGATCTCGTTCGCGCGGTGGCAGCGGAGTTGCGGGCTCCTTCAAGCAGAAGCGTGACTTCGTTCGTGCGGTGGCAACAGAGGCGCGAGCTCCTTCAAGCGGTGGCAACGGAAGCACAACTTCGTTCGTGCAATGGCAGCGAAGGTACGACCTTTTTTCACACAATGACAGTGGAGCCTTCTATATTTTTACACAGGGACTGATATGCAAAATATATATAAATTTTTTTTTTCCAAGTTACCGGTTACAAATTTAAACTGTTAATTATTATAATATTAAATCTAATGGTCAAAAATAATGTTTCATCCATGTACTATATTTTTTGCTACTTCATGTTAGAATTTTCCTGGAAGATATGGATATTAATTGAAAAAGAAAAGTAGCATAAAGATAGTTTTAAAAAATAAAATAAAATAATTTTATTGTTATCAACTAAATTAACTATTTTTTTTTATCTTGATAATTTTGATTTATATTTTGAAAAAGAATGTGTATTTTTTTATATTTTTGAAAAGAGAGTATAATTTAATTTGTGGCGTAACTTTATCGGGAATCTTGACCTTTTTATCTCGTAACAGTGTTGATTGTATGGACAAGTTGAGGCAACAACGGGTACTGCTAGACAAATAAACAAAGAAGTTAAGCTTAGTGTAGGTTCCTTTTTCCTGGCTCGAGAGGGAAACAAACATACACTTCTATAATTAGTAACCTAATGTGTTTTAAAATTAAGAAATTTTGACAAAAGGATATAAGATCCACCTTGTAATTTGAACCAGGATATTCTCTTTGTTGCTTTGCAATAATAATAAGCAACGTTCAAAATATTCACATTCCATCTTGTGTTAGTGAAGGAGATTTCAAAATCCCTATTATACAGTGAATCAAATCTCACGTACGGAAGAATTGAATAGTTTAACATGAACTGTATCACACACAATCTTTATAAATATGTTAGAGGTCATGCTCAACCCCTTTCTTTTTAATAAAAGATGCTCTATCTGCCTGTGTTGCTTCCTCTAACATGTTCACCTGTCTCCTGCCATCGTATAATATACGTATCAACTCATATCATATGATATCCCACTACGTACGTCTACAAGATTTCTCAACAATATAGTGCTTGCTTCAATTCTCATTTCTCAATAATGCAGATGCTGTCGTTGAAAATCACCACATCTTATAATTATTATATTCATAAACCACATAACTGAGAAAGTGGGAATCTTCCACTTCTTGATGGCTTGATGCTACACATAATAACATTTTCTCTTTTAATTTGTGGAGAAACATTCATTTATATGTATTTATATATTTGTGCCAACGTTACTTCTTTTTTAAGGGAAATGGATACCTAGTGTGAACGTAAGGACCCTTGCAATCAAGTTATATATGTACACTTTTTATTACAATAGAAATTTGAGTAAAATTCACCCAGCGCTGTGGATGGAATATGAC